CTGAAGATGGATAAGCTTCTCCCAAGAGATTGCCACTTATCTCTGAAGAAGGATAAGCTTCTCTGAAGAGATTGCCACTTATCGTTGAAGATGGATAAGCTTCTCTAAAGAGATTGCCACTTATCGCTGAAGATGGATAAGCTTCTCTGAAGAGATTGCCACTTATCGCTGAAGATGGATAAGCTTCTCTGAAGAGATTGCCACTTATCGCTGAAGATGGATAAGCTTCTCTGAAGAGATTGCCACTTATCGTTGAAGATGGATAAGCTTCTCTGAAGAGATTGCCACTTATCTCTGAAGATGGATAAGCTTCTCCCAAGAGATTGCCAGGAACCAAATGAGCAATAAGTGTCTCTAAATCAAAAGATAATGGCCTGAGGTGTGAACTACAGAGCCCAAGGCTCTAACTGAAAATGAACTGATCTTTGGTGATTTCTCAGCCATGAATCGTATGAATTTGGCGCCACCTGACAACTTGCATAAGTAGAAACCTTAATTGGATCTTCAGGCATATACCCTATACGCGCGTATTTCAACCTTACACAAAATTGAATGACGAGTGGAAACAACATTTTTTTTTGATTTTTTAGATATAGTTGGTAGATGGATACACATATGAAAGATATACACAAGTGGGACAAATTTAGGGTATGACAAACGCTAGACAGGCTATTACGCCAAAAGGCACGGGTGGCCAAAGCATACAATAAGAAGGTCAGAAAGAAAACCTTTGCAGTCAATGATTATGTTTGGAAGACAGTGTTGCCTATGGATCGAAGGGATCTAACGTTAGGAAAGTGGTCACCAAATTGGGAGGGACTATTCTAAGTAACTCAAGCATTCAGTAACAACACTACGAGATCCAAGAGATAGGAATGAATCAACGAATCATAAGAGTAAATGGGAAATATTTGAAAAAATATAAACCTATGTTACAGGAGGTTCAAATCCAAAAATAATTTTTCATTGATACTTGGCCCATATGGGTAGAAGGTCAAGACAGTTTACAAAAGAGCTCCAGAATGGAGTTACAAAAGTTCAATTAAATAAAAAATACAGTTATACTGGGAACCTTGATTTAAAGTCTTCAAAAAGGGTTTTTTCATGATCCACTTTACTTTCCAAGAGAAACTTTTTCTGCCGCATCTTGTCAATGGTATCCTTTAGCGCAAGAGCAATTTCGACATTAGCGATCCCCTGAGACACTTCTTGGTCGATGACCTCTTAAGCCGGTAGAGGTTCGTCGGAGTCCAAGTAGGCTTTCTGCTTCTCAACTTCAGCAATCTTTCTCGCAAGTTCCGCCATCTGGGCTTGATAATCAGATATATGTTGGTCGAAGACACGACGCTTGTCAGAATTCTCTTTCTTTGTGGTTTCAAAATCCTCAAGTTTCTTCTCAAAAAGGGAGCTGAGATACCACTCTCGTTTCATCTCATTGATATTCACCCTAATCTGAGCATCAGTCTATTTACAAACTGAGAGGTCATTTGCCAACTGGGTGAAGAAAGCCTCAAATTCAATGAAATATTTGGCCATGAGAGCAGGCACTATAAACTGGGAAAGGTCATCCAGTATTTTGAAGACATCACAAGCTACAGCTGACTCCTCCGTGACGGCGTCCAGAAACTCATCCTCGAAGAGGTAGGTCCTTAGTTGTTGGAGTTTTAGGGCAAAAGAATCATCCATTTTTGGGCCAAGAGGGGTCTTCGAACCAGCAGGGGTTGCGTCCACAGACGACTTAAGAAGCTTAAGCAGTGCCTTCAAAGTTCTGTTGGGTTTGTTTGCTTCATAGCCAGAATCTGCTCCGGAATACGCTTTCTTTCGACAAAGGGGCCACCTTCAGCAGAACCTATGGGAAAGATGCATAAATGAAGAAATGTGCACGGGAAAGCTCATGACCGCATTTTAGAAGTGATTTTTTGATAGAAACGGTCGATTCTCACACGCGATAACGATGCCAAATCTGCTTATGATCCAAACTCGCGCAACACCAGCTGTTAATTCACTCATCTCTCATGGTTTACCTTTCGATTTTTGTTCTATTTCGATAAGCTCAGTTGCGGTTCAGAATCGCATTTGGATTTGAAGTTAATTCAAATTAGAATTCGTTTTAACTCAAAGTTGTTCCAATTTAGAATTTGTTTGGAATTTGGTTCATATTTGTTTAGGTATTCGTGTGCAACTGGGTTTAACAGCCGATTTCGGTTAGTTTGACTATGATTGTGTTTCAATTGGATTCAGAACCCGTTTCACTTTTGGTTCAGAATTTTTCTGCGTTTTAGATTCTGGTTTCATGTTATCCTTCAGAGTTTTTCGGCGTGCATAATTTTTCTGATTCAGAATTTTCCCGCATGCAGTGCATAATTTTTTCGCATGCTGAATTTTTCTGGTTCAGGAATTTCCTTTGTGTAGTGCGGAATTTTTTCGCATTTTAATGTAGAACTTGAATTCTACATTTCAATTCGGTTTCAATTTAATGGTTTTCGTTCGTACATCATTATGGTTTGTGACTCGAGTACAATTTGTATTGTGGTTTGATCATGACTCGATTTTGGTATAGGTTTGGATTTAAATTAAAGCTAAAACAAGCATACGATATCAAATAATAGAATTGGATGAAAGTTTGTTGTTCGAATGAGAAAAAATTTGAAATTCATTCTTGCTTACAAGGTGCTCAGTAAAATATCTCAACTAGGGCTGGCAATGAACCGAACCAACTTGAAAATAGTTCGGAATTCGATTCGACAATTAAATCGTTGAACTAGGTTCATGAACCAAATGAGTTGAGTATGAGCGAAAAATTAAGTTTGTTAACTAAATGAGCTGAACTTGAACTATACATAGTTCGACTCGTTAGGTTCATGAGTCAACTCGATTACATATGAGAAGAATTATATTGTCTTTAAGATTAGGTTTAAATATTTACTCCAAATCTTAGACAAATTTAATCTTCAATTTAGTAGTTTTTGAATTAAACTCTCAAATGTATCTCTTGAAAGTTGTGTAGGTTTTGAATTAGTAGATTTCGAAGATAAAGTTAAATTTCAATATGATAACTTTTATTTTATTTTAAAAAAATATATTTATTTAAAATGTCAAATATACTAAAAATATATATGTATTTTAAAAAATAGTTCTTAATTCCGTGAATCATGTGAGCTGAACCTAATGAGATGAACCTAACGAGTTGAACTGAACTGCTCGTGAACTTATAACGAGTCGAGTTTGAGCTTAAAAAAAAGTTTGTGTCGAACTCGAGCTCGAACTCAAACTCGAACTAATTCTTAGCGAGTCGAGCCGAGCTGAGGTGAGTTTGACTCGACTCATTTCCAACTCATTCTCAACGAATCTTTTTGCTTCTTTTCACTTCTTTTTGATTTTGTTTTGCTTTATTTGTGACTATTGTTTGTTGTTGATGATTTGACTCAAATCGATTTGTGAATTGACGGAGAATTGTTGTTCATGCTTGATGAAATGTTAAAACCAATCTTTTTAAATGTTTCTTCCCTTTTTGCTTATTGTTTTCTTGCTAGGTGAATTTTGATTTTTTGTTGTAGATTTGGTGTTTTCAGGTGCTAAATTTTTTAATGTTGTTGTTTCGAATTTTCGAAGGTAATGATGATGATGTAATATGGCAATGAAGAGAAGTTGAAGATTCAAGACAAAATGATGATGATGATTGAAGTTTTTTTGTTTGAAAATTGGGATTATGGAAGAGGATTTAGGATGAAGATTGAAGAATGATAAAGATGGTGAAGATGATGAAATTGGGAGTTGAAGATGGTGGAAATTGGAATTGGACCATTGGAATTTTATGGTCTTTTACAAATACTGATTATGTAAGATGATAATTGATGAAGGTCTTTGGTATTTTCTTTTTGTGAATAGTGTAAATAGTGACTAATCTTTCATGGTAGTGAATTGTGATGTTGAAGTAATGATAAAAATGGAAGAAAAGTTGAGTAGGCCGGATTTAATTAAAACTCTAGGATATATAGGTAGTTAAGATAGTTAGAAATGAAATCCAACAGTAAACTTGAATTTTAATCTCATTTAAAATGAAATATGAAATACACGAAATGTAAATATGATGTAAACTTAAATTTGAATTCAATTGACATTCAAATGCAAATGGATGTGAGATTCAGGAAATTGGAATTAAAATGTGATTTTATTTCCTTGGTATGAATAAAAATCAAAACTTGAAAACAAATAAATAATTAGACTAAAGAATTGGTCATAGATTAAAACATGAAGTCTTTAATTCTTGAAATAATAATAATGCAATATACTTTATTTTATTTTTTAATTAGCACTCACTCTAACTTTTACTTGAAATTCCATTCCATTAGAGTATTTAAAACAAAAATAAAGTAATAAGATACAAATCAATTTTATAATAACAAAAATCAACAACCTAAACAATAACAGTTTCAATGAGACAAATTTGTCTTGTTAAAGGGGGGCTAACATTGCATTAACATAGTCTTTATGCCCCGCTATATTAATATTATTTTTATAATACTCTTGTAGTCCCTTTAAATTATGATCAGTACCTTTTTTTAAGTCAACCTTGAGTAAATTAAAATTAAATAACAAGCTACGAAAAAGAAAACTCTAGTTACTAATGCTACTAATGCATTGTTAGATAAAGAATTTAAGATATTAAAAAACAGATAAAGACCCAATTTAAGTGTTGAATACCCGTTTACACAAATGTTTGAGTTAGAGTTTAGCATATAGGTCAGTGTTAAAGAATGAGTAAAGTTGAGTAAAGAAGGGAAATAGTTATCATTTTTGTGTTTTAAGCCATTAAAAATACCTCAAATCATAAATCAAACAAGAGCAAGGGGACAGAATGTATTAAGGAAAATACCTGAAAACATAAATAACAAGTTTTTGGATGTCTAATACCAAGAAAATTGTAACCAGTTAAAACTTAAGATCTTGACAAACCAAAAAAACAAGGGCAAAAAACAATTTCAAAACTCCTGTATCGTCTAGAATACTAACTCGTGAGGCTTCACTCCTGCCTTCAAGGAAAACCTTGCACCAAGATAAGTCTTCAAATCGGGAACAGTTTCAATGGCTTTTAGCAAACCAGCGTCAAGAGTCTTTTGATCATCTTTCTTTGACTGGGGAAGCACTTTTTTATCCTGAAAAGACAACAAGTCTCAGCAAACAAAGGCATTTCAAAAGAGACCAGATTATAACTATCAAAACAACATATTCAGCAAACAAACCTCCTTATCTGCCTCAAAGAATTCACCCTCTCCTTTCTTTGTCTTCTTTGCAGATTCCTTTGAGAAGTATTTGTCATCAAACTTATCAACGTTGACCGAAGATACATCTACTTTAGTTGATGTGCCGATGACATATGATTGGTTCACACGCCTCAAGGGTACTCCATTAATCTTGAATGGGCCTGAAGCAATGAGAATAAACAAATTTAGATATCCAGAGATAGATGACTATGGTAGATTTTATGTGACAAATATCAATACAAATGCAACACACTTTAAAATGGAGCAAAAGCTAATGCATAAGTATAACAGCCAGGTTTAGCATAGCAGCAGCGCACAAGTAATGTTATGGATCTACACGGTCAGTGGCATCTTCAAATAAAAAAGGCATAAAATCATGCCAAAATACTCAAATTGAGAAATAAAATTCAAATATGATAACAAAAATAGCTCACTCGATCAAATTATAATGATAAAAACTGATTAAACCAATATAATATTAACAAAAATGCATCCAAACTAAGAATGCTTAATCCATAAAAACAACAATTACCAGTAACTAGGAGAAGTCCAGAAGGAAGTTGTTTGAGAAACACTACTCTCTTCCCCTTGAATCTTCCCGCAAGAAGAATCAAAATTGTTCCTGGAGTAATGCTAGCCCTGAAACAAGTATAAAAATTCGTCATTTCTTATCTAAAATCTCCAACCTAAAACTAACACCCTCTAACCAAATTTATTAGATCCCTATCAATCGTACTAAAGCAACAAAAGTTTTCACAACTGCAAACAAAACAGGTTACACATACAGAAACAACAGACAACGAACCTGAGCTTGGTGGGTTTTGGTTTGTGCTTATTGCGGAGTGGCTTCTTGACGTCATCAGCCGGGTAGAATTTGGGGGCCTTTTCAACTGGAGCTTCAGGCTTAGGAGTTGGATCGTGGCGGGGGAAAGTACCGCCGTTTTTGGCCTTGATGGCCCAGAGTCCCCTCTTGTGGTACATGGTGGACCTGGAGTATTTTCCGATACCCCTGATCAGTTCGGGGTTTCGGCTGACTCTGGGTTTTCTTGCGGTTTTCTGGTTTGGTGCCATTGCAGCTGCTGTTGCTTCTTCCCACAAAACCCTAATTTTGTTATAACGCTTTCAGTTCAATCTATTTATATGTTCAGTCTCTTTAGGTCATTTCCTTTCCCGGCCCGACTCTCTAAACAGGCCAGTTTTTAGCCCAGCCCAATTCTACATTTCCTTATTTATCTATCTATTTATTTTTATTGAATTTTTATTTATTTTTTTAAATAATGATACATCGGGTAACAGATAATCAATATATATGAGTTATATAATATATTTTTTTAACACACGGTTAACTCTCTTAAATAATTATACATTCGGTCTTATCCATAACAAATAATCAATGCATATGAGTTATAAAATATTTCATATACATTAATTATTCAATCAATTTAAGAAATCAATTTTATGTTATAAATAGAACTTCGAAGGAGTATTATATAGGTGTATATTATAGTATATAATCTTACCGGTTGATCAGAGCCTGAAGTAGGTCAGAGACAACGTTTGTGATGTGGGGTGTGAAAGATGTGGAGGCGGTATATATGCAAGACACTTTGATGCTAAAGTAAGAATCGGAAGAAAAGATTGCAAGTCTAGAGTATGTGTATGTTAGGATGAATAATGAATATCTGGCCCTTTCAAATGAGAAGGTTTTTGTAGTGCCCCTAGGACTTGACCATTGGTCCCTATTTACGGGGTGACATAATCGTTCCCTAAAGAATAAGTAACAGCCAGAAACTAGTCATTAGGACCGGTAGACGTACCCAAAACTAGTTGTTTCTACGTGCATAGGCGCAGTGGCGGGCACGGACGTCATGATTGTTTCTGGATGGTGAAACCATGCGTAACGGGCAGAAACAACTAAGGAGGGGCAGCTGACCCTAGACGTCAACTGGCCAACCTTCCCCGATGGAGGGGCAGAGAGTTAAATGTTCACCTAAATTGATTGGACTTAGGAAATTGGACTGTTCTTGGAGCAGAAGTGGATTGGACCATGCCTAGTCATTGGGCCAATCCGGAACAGGAGTCTCCTAAGTCGTTGCTCCCGAGCATGAGAGTGATGACTTAGTGGCAGTTCGCAGTCCCGAGGAGGACCAGACATGGTAGTCGGTGCCCCAGGGAATCTTTAATGTTGCATGGCGGGGAGCTCGTAGTACGGGGATCCCAACGATTGATGTGATCTCAAGAGGTGAAGTGCCACACATGCCTCGAGCCATATGTCGCATTTAATGCGTCATGATGGCTAGGTTAGGGTCATGATGATACCCTTAGTCGCGTCTGCATGTGCACGTGCCCATGGATCGTTTATAAATAGAGGGAGAAGTTGCTCATTTGCACTTTTCACTTCTTTTTCTTCTCTTGTTTTCTGTTTCTGCAATTCGTCGTCTGCCTCCGACCGCCGTACTTTCACCGACCAGAGCTCTTCGACCCCAAATTTCCTTTCTTAACCATATAAGTACTTGAAATTGATCTTTTATCATAGGTTTATTTACTTTCTGCATCTTAGAATTCATGTGGTCAAGGCGAAACTAAGTAACGTTGGGGCTGTTTTTGGTGACTGTTGGTGGAAGGCGGTGGTTTGACCACTTTTCTCTACTACCGACGTTGCCAGAGCTTTTAGAAGCTTAGGATTTTTAGTTGATTATTTTGTCGTTGCGACGAGGAAGATTTCGTCGCCGGTGGAAACCGTGAATTTCCGGTGTGCTTACGAGCTTTCTGGTGGTTTTTCAACGGAAATTCTGGGTTTTGTACAGGGGAAGCTTTCCCCGCGCGTGTCAGAGGGGTTGTCCCGGGCTCTTCCTCGTATCATAACTTCTCTGTTTGAGTAGGGCTTAGGTCGGGGACATTGTCCTCAGGCCTTCTCACGCTCTTTCACTTGACTAGTGGTGGAAAGGTGGATTTGACTTTGTCAACGAATTCACTGTTAACCTCTGCTTTTCAGGTAAAGGACATGTCGCGCGAAGCTGAAGAAGAAATCCTGAGAAGTTCCTTATGTACGAATATGTCTTAAAGGAGATAAGGTTGAGGCTACCTTTTTTGGATTTTCAGAGGACAATGTTTGTGCACATGGATATGGCGTCTTCGTAGCTGCATCTGAACTCGATCGCCTTTATACGGGAATTCGAGCTGGTGTGTGAGTACTTAGATATTAGAGATACCCTCCCCCTCTCCTTTATTGTCTTTCATCTTCGGCGACAAGTCTCGAAGAGGAAATTCGGTTGGGTCTCCTTGAATAAGGGGAGGAAGCTATTCAAACTTTTTTTTAAGTCCATTAGGAATTTCAAGGAAAGGTTTTATATCATTGAGCCCGTGTCGGAGAGGGCCACCAACTTTACATTTGTATAGGAGTTCTCGATGGACGAGGGCGGGGAAGCCTTAGTCGATGAGCATGGCAAAGTGCTTGCGCAGAGGCTGTTCAAGTTTCCTTTTTGCTGGAGTGGGGTTCATTTTACCCGACCAACTGACGATTATATCGCTACTCCTCACATGCTAAGGGACGACGACCGAGCCATTTATGTCAAACTGGTGGCTTTCGTGGACGACTTTCTTTGTGCCCAGTGCATGACCTGTGATGAAAAAAATATTTATGAAGAAGATGGGGGGTCCAAGGTGGAGGCTCAGTATATCAATATGAAAGAGCTCCTCGAGTGTAGCACTCGTGCGGGGGCTTTAGAACTTTTGGGTAGTCTTTTATTTCCTCTTAGTTTGTCTGAGTTGTTACTTTCTTCGCGTATTAATGTGTCTGTTGTTTTGCATGTAACATGTCTTCTGCTCAAGAATGAATGGTAAAGAATGCCCATGGGAAGCACATACATCTTCATTCACCCAGCCCACATACCAACACCCCCAACCAACATATCAACGCACTCATACCATATTCTTTGCCACCTCCTCTCAACAACCAACATTATACACCCCAACCCCACAACAAAACTTCTACCACCAACAACAATACCAGGAACAAGCCACATTTCGATTGTCTTTTCAATTCACTCCAATTCCTCGATCTAATTTTGATTTCTCTTACCCCCTACGACAACACCAAACATTTAACCCTTCAACGTCTCAACCGACTTCAACCGGCCGCACTGACGATGTTTATTACCCTCCCATCCAGCAAAGCTCTCCAACCACCTTCACCCAACCATCACAGTCAGTCCCTAACTTTACCCTAATTGATGATCAACTCATGGAATGACCTCCAAGATGGTCATTACATCACATCAACCTGAAAATGAAGAGTTGACTTCCGACTCTACCCATCACCTCCAAGATGGCAGCCCGAAGAGTTAGGCATCGGAAAACGAGTAAAAAAAGTAAAATGTGTGAAACCGGCGGTCATTTATGTAGATAAAATGATGTATTTTTTTCACTCATAAGAATTAAAAAATTGCATTTATTTATGATTTTATTTAATAAACAAATTAATTTAATTAGTTAAATAATTAATTAGATAATATAAAAAATATTTAATATTATTGTAAAATTAATTAAATTATTTATTTATTAATATTTTAAATCATATAATAAATTTTAATATTTAAAAAACAATTTAACAATATAAAATAATAATAAATATTATATATATATATATATATATATTTTTTATAAAATAAATAATAAAAAAACAAAAAAAAGAATCGTAACATAAGGTCGGTCATCATTAGTCAAACTCTAACTGTCTTTTTTATTCTTCAATGGATCGTCTATTAGAAAGACGAGCCCAAACTAAAAACGTGGTATTTTAGACATTTTTTTTTCAAATAGTGACATATTAGTATTTTTAATTTTAAAGAGTGGCACATTTGTGAAAAACTAGTCAAAATAAGTTGTTTTGGTCATTGATGAAGGAAAGAGAAAGATGAATCGAAGATAGAAAGAAGATAGTTAATGTTTCTTGATTGGAAAAGAGAGATAAAAAACGCAAGAAATAAAGGAAGAGAGAGGAAAAGGCAAGAGAAAAACTATTTTTTTTTATTCTTATACCATTTTGGAATTTTATATCTCTAAAATAAAAGAATTATTTTATCAAAATCTGATTAATACAAAGAGATAAATGGTGTATTTACACAGCATTAAAGAATAATACAACTTATAATTTTTTAACTAACTTAAAGCCAACTAATTAACTCTTTTCTTCTAATAGTAGCTTAATTTATTTCTACTCAAACAACTAAAATACCAAGAGAAAAGAGATGCATGTTCTCCTCTGAACTCATATAATAACATTCTATAATGGTTGAACTATGAGAGGAAGTCCATGATTGGGTCTAAGAGACAACATGATAGTAGGAGAATGGTGATAACTAGGGGAGACTTTAAACCTAAACTTAGAGAGAAGTAGTGTTAATACTATCTTATACTCCATGAAAGTCAAGTTCCTACCAACACATGATCTTCCTCCAAAGCCAAAAGGCAAATACCCCATTTTGTGCTTGGATTCCCCATTTGCATCATTCATAAACCTCTCTGGTTTAAACTTATTGGCATCATTCCCCCATATTGTAACATCATGGTGCATTGCTACAACATCAATCCAAATATTGGTTCCTCTAGGCACCTTTAAATTGTCCACTTGAATGTCCTCCATAGTTTGCCTTTGAACATTTGGAGATGGTGGGTAAAGTCTAAGTGCTTCACTCATCGCCCATTTCATCTACATGTATAAAAAAATAACACACATTTAAGAGTATGATATAAGGACATATATAGCTCATAAATTCTTGTGCTTATAATATAGCAAAACTTACTTTCTTTAAATCAGCAAGTAAGTTGATGTCAAGTTTTTCAATATTACCAATCACTTGTTTAATTTCATCTCTCAATTGGTTTTGCCAATCTTGATGCAAAGCTAGAAGTAGCAAAGTCCATGTGATTGAAAGTGATGTTGTCTCATACCCACCAAAGAAAAAAGTCTTGCACTCATCAACTAACTCCTTTTTTGTTAATGCCTTGTTCAATTTTCCATCAATCTCATGAGTTTCTTTCAACAAATGACCCAACAAATCTTGTTCATGTTGTTTCTTATCATTTGAATTCATCCTATCTTCTATGATGGATAACATGAGCTCGTCAACTTTTTTACCAATATTCTTGGCTTCTAATGTTTTCTTGAAATTTAAGAATTTTTCAAATGGAACTCCCACATATCCATTGGTCTTAAAAAGGGTCATTTGCAAAGTCCTTAGTTGATTAAAGACTAATTTTCCATTTTCATCTCCCATTCCAAAGCTTGCTTTTGCTATAATCTCTCCGGCAGTTGCGACAATCTCTCTTTCGATGTCGATTTCAAGGTGGCCGGAGTTAATTTGGGAATTCCACCTTTTTATCATTTTCTTGGTGGCATCAACCATCATGCTTGCCATTGTCTCAAGAGAACAAAAATGTTGAACATAGTTAGAATCTGTTTGTTACATTATATATATAAAAAAAGGGTTTATGTAATTCAATAATTATGTAAACCATATTAAAATCAATTATTTTGTGTTCTTTTACCACAATAAAAATCACTTTCTTTTATATGAGAGAGAGAGAGAGTTAAACCTTAAGATTAAGTGGAGTAAATGTTGGGCCTATAACATGTCTATGATGTACCCATGTAGTGCCTTCAGCCATCACCAAACCATTTCCAAACATTGGTTCTCTATCTTTTCTAAAAACACTTGGTTTTCCCCATTTCTTAGCCACAACCTTTGAAGACATTATCTTCAAGAATTCAGGATCTGCAATATATAAAAACGGCTCTGTCCCCAACCAATAAATGAAAACCTTTCCTGCAAACAAAATAACAATGCATATTCAACATAAATAAATATCAATCACTATTAAAAAAAACATTGATTTGTAAAATGAAATTCTTAGTTTACCATAAGATTTTTGCCAAGAATAATAATAAGGAGAAACGATAGAGTGAATGTTATGAGTGATATCAAGTGAAGAAGAAAAAGAAGAATTCCTTTTCATTTCTTTGATGTTTCCAAATGGAAAACTTGGGGTTGGCCCATCAAATCCACATTTCTTAAGTTTTACAAGCTTGTGGTTTGGTAAAATCCACCAAAAATATATTAGTGTTACGAGCAAGCAAAGACATATAGCTAATATAATTGAAATGAGTACAAAAAGAATTTGTGATGATAATGCTACAAACTCCATCGACTCTTTTCTCTTTCTCTCCTCCCTCTTTCAATTACTTATATGTTGGTAAAGTAAAAGTAAAAATCCAAATTTTAGTGATTACGAGTAACAAGTTAAATGGCATTAAAAAAATTCTTAGAACAGTCAAAAACGACGGAAACAAATTAAATGACACTAAAAATTATTTTGACAACGGTGAAAACGATGGAAATAAGTGTAATGCTTTTGCAAATGTGATTGATGTATATTGTTTGTGTGTAATTATTATATTTTAATATTAATATTTTTATAATGTTGATATTTATGATAAAGAAAATTTCACAAGAGACTCAGCATTATTTAAAAATTAGAAATTAAGAGACTTAAACTTTTTGTTAGTTGATATCGTATGAATTAGTCTAAAAATTAGTGGATATCACACGATAATAAAACTATTTAGTGTGCAAAAATATGACAGAAACATAACATCATAAAAAGTTAAATAAAATTAAGATATAATATCATGTCATATATTTGATGTACATATAGTTAAAAAAAATAGCATTATAATTTTATTATTTCATATTTATAAAAAATAACATGAATTAAAAAATAAAAAATAGCATATTTGCAAGAACCAAATATATATTTAAATTTAATAAAATTAGTTGTTCAATTAAATAGTTTTAAATTCTTGCTTAATGATACAAATATTATATTGTAATTTATCGAGATTGAGTTTGAATCATCTCTAAGTTGAAAAATAATCATTAAATAAATTTTGTAAATAACAAGTTCTTTTTTTCGAAATTTTTGTTCAACTAACGATATACATAAAATGATAGAAAATTATATATCTATATATATATATATATATATATATATATATATATATATATATATATATATATATATATATATATATATATATATATATATATATATATATATATATATATATATATATATATATATATATATATATATATATATATATATATATATATATATATATATAAAAGGATAAAACTCCTCACTAAAATAACTGAGTAGTTTGGGGTTAAACCCATCGCAATGCATAAAATAGAAAGAAAAAAAATATAAATAAATTCCTAGAAGACACCCCTCTCAAAGAAGGAGAATTTTTTTTTTTGAATTTTGAAACTTGAATTTGGTAGGGGTCAGTGCCTAAAAGGCTGACAATTGTTACAATTTGCAAGGGGATTGTCCTTCACCAATTTTCGACATGCCTTTTGCGAGTGGCTTCCCCGCACCAATATAAATGCTTAAGTCAAATCAAATTGAAAATCATTTATTCTCGCTGTTGCATGACAGAAAATGGACTGTCACACGTTATCAATGGCTAGAGGCAGTCTTTCGCTAATGTGATCTTCATTTATTGCGTGGGGTAGTATGTCGCCAATTATATCTACGTGTCCTACATGCAAATGCACTTCTGACACGTCAATATTTAGCTAGGGGTAACCCCTCGCTAAATATGATTGTCAGCCTTCGCGTGGGGTTGTCCCTCGCAATTGCCACCTATTCAATTCTCAAATTCGTTTCATTCATCACACTGATAATATTACTCTTAATTTTTTTCTTTCTCTTTTGCTGCTGTCTTATTCTATCCTTCTTCTTCGACATTTATTCTACAAATATAAGGTAAATATATTTATTATATTATAAATTTTTGTAATTAATTTTATTTATTATATTTATTAATTTTTTTTACTGTGTTGCAGGTATATAATTGATTATATAAAGGTCTCAAATTTTGTATAAAAGGAACTTTAAACTTAAGGAGCATCAAAAGATATACATTTGTTTTTTTTTCTCAAGATTTTAGGTGTAATTGATATTTATATATATATTTTTTTGGTGTGATGCTGATATAATAAAATATATTATTAGTTATTTTGAAGTATATGTACATATAAATATTAACATATTTTTGAAAATATTATTTTTATTTTTTATATTTTTTGGATTATAATATTTTTAAAATATTTGTTAGAAAAAAATCGTAAAAATAATATAGACATATTTTTTTAATATTATTATTTAGTATATAAATTTATGTATATGTTGTTTATATTATTTAGTTTATACTATTAAAAAAACAGATTATATATTAAATATTTTTTATAAAACAGATTATATATTAAATACTGTTTTAAATAGATTATATATTAAATATATTTATAAAACAGATTTTATAAACAGATTTAAAAACAAATTATAAAACAGATTTATTAAAATATTTATAAAACAGATTTTAAAAATCAGATTATATATTAAATAATGTTTTAAAAACATATTTTAGTAATATATTTATAAAAAGTATTGTTTAAAAAATAGATTATATATTAAATATATTATTGAAAATAGTATTGTATATTAAATATTGTTTAACATAATATTTTTATATTAAAGAACATAATATTTTTATATAATAAATGGTTAAAAAGCTTATTGTATATATTAAATATTTTTATAAAAGAGTATTTATAAAATAAATTTTGAAAACATATTATATATATTTTTTATAAAAGAATTTGTTATATATTAATATACACTTTTATTTGAAAAGTATGAGTTAAATTATAAATATATATAATTTTTAATATATTTAAGTAATATGCACTTTTTATATAAAATATATAATTTGTAATATATACACCCTCTATTTAAAATGTATACATGTTTATTTAAATACACCTATACATGTTTATTTATAATATATACACCCTCTATTTAGAATATAATTTGTAAATTTGTAGAAACATATTAGATATTTATATTATATTATATTTTATAATATTTATAGAACGATATAAGTATATAATTTGTAAGTTAAAATGTGTTGATTAAGAGATGAGGATGATGATGAAGTTGATTAAATATTTTGAAAATATGAAATTTTTAATATGTATTTTTATATTTTATTTTATCTTTGTCATGAATTATTTTTATTTTGATGATGGATATGGATATTTAATTTTATTGCACTTTTAATTATAAATTATTATATTTTATAAATTTTAAAAATATACATTATATAATTATATTATTCTAATTATAATAATATAATTAAAATAATATAATTATAAAATTTTAATAATATTAATATATATGTTAGTTAGGGGTTAAACTTCTCACAAAATTCAAAACGTAAGTCAATTTGCTAGGGACTTTACCCTCGCAAAAGTCTGACACATACAGCTAGCGACTTTACCCCTCACAAAATACAAAACGCAATTACTTTAACTATGTGTTATCCTCTAGCTAATCAGCTGACATGTCTGTGATATTATGTGACACTAGTATGTGTCTATGCCTGCGGTGGAGCAGGCTGAATATTTAATATGACAATTTGGGCTGAATATTTAATATGACAATTTGCGAGGGGCTTACCCCCTAGCCATAAATTTGTGATGTCCTAATTAGTATGCACTGACAGTGTAAAATTATTTTGTATGACACAGCAGATTAATATATTCTAATTGTATGACGGTATAGAATTATTTTACATTGTCAGTGCATACCAATTAAACTATATATATATATATATATATATATATATATATATATATATATATATATATATATATATATATATATATAAAAGTGGGGATCAACTTACTTCAAGAGTAAGTTTTTTTTTAACTTACTCCACATCATAGTCTTTAAATTGAATCTAATCTAGTGGTTAAATTAGCATTTGTAAAATATACATTCAGTTAGATCTAATTTAAATATGATTGTAGAGTAAGTTATAAAAACTTTCTCTCTCTCTCTCTGTGTGTGTGTGGGTGTGTGTGTGTGTGTGTGTTAGAGAGTTTTATTAATAGAGAACATTCAACATTGAGTTAAGAGCAACACAAGTGAGAAAATCCCTCAACAAATTGGTATCTAGATCTTCGGTTAGATTCTTAATCGTGTTTTTAAAAATCACACGCTAGTGATCGTGTTTCTGAGATTATGGGTTATTGTTGATCAATCGTTACAAAGATGAATGATAATGAAAACTTACCAAACTCTCTTCCAACTCTTGACGGCAAGAATTGACTTCGATGGGAAAAACAAATGCAATCTCTATTTGACTTTCATGAAACCCTAAAAGTGGTTACTAATGACATTTTCGTGCTTGGTGAAGATGCAACCAAAGATCAGAGAACCGCTCACAAGGATGCCAAGAAGAAGGATTGCAAGGCGTCGTTCTACATCCAATCGGCGGTTGACGCGACTAACTTTGAAAAAACCACTCATGCTGAATTGGCGAAAGAGACATGAGATATTCTTGTCAAGTACTATGAAGGAGGCGAGAAAGTTAAGGTCGTTAAGTTACAAACGTTGCAACGACAATATGAATTGTTGTAAATGGGGGAAGATGAAAAGATTGCAGGCTATGTGTCGAAGGTGCAAAAACTCATCTATTTCATGAAGGATTGTGGTGAAATCCTAACTGATATGATGATAGTTGAGAAGGTAATGCGTACGTTGACCTCTCACTTTGATCATGTTATCGTAACTATTCAAGAATCAAACAATTTTGAAATCAAACTCTGATACCAATTTGTTAATGCGTGAGACACTTTTAGTGAGTAGAGAAAGAGAGAGAATAAGAAAATAAGGATTTATTGAATAAATTTTTATGAATAATGATACATACTATGACTATTTATATACAACTCTAATTAAATTTGGGTTAACACAACTTAGATTATATTTAAATATTAAATGTAATCAAATCTAATATTATCTAATATTTAAATATATATATATATATATATATATATATATATATATATATATATATATATATATATATATATATATATATATATATATATATATATATATATATATATATATATATATATATATATATATATATATATATATATATATATATATATATATATATATATATATATATATATATATATATATATATATATATATATATATATATATATATATATATATAAAGTTGTAACTTACTTGTCTAATATATTATTTAGTTACAATTATTA